ACTGACTTCAGATAAATTTAGAGAGAGATTAGGAAGGATTTTAGGGATAGAAATCCAAAAAGGTAAAATAGTTCAAGATGCTTGAAAAATTAGTTAATGAAAGCCCAAGCAAAAATAATACTGCCATTATTGTCAGCCATTCAATCATGTCCAACCTGCAGCCACTCTGTGAGTCAGCACACTTCATGCCCCTCTGTCTCACATTGTCTCCTTCACATCTACAGAGAAAGAAAAACAAGTCTACAGATGAGACCAGCATAGTTGCACAAAGGGCTCTCTGACAAACTGGGGGACACAAAGTCAAATATAAAAAAATGGAAAGGGGCACATAACTAAAGCAAAATACCAGCAAATAGCCTGAATCTACAAGGAGGGAGTAAGGAAAACTAAGGCCCACAATGATCTAAGACTGGCAACTGATGCCAAGAATGATAATAAAAGTGTTTATTTCAATATATAAGGAACAAGAAGAAACTCAATGAAATGATAGGTCCACTAATGGGAGAAGATGGCAAGAAGGTGACAGGCAGCAGGCAGAAAGAAGGACTGCTTAATTCCTTCTTTGTATCTAGTTTGTATGCAAAAGGAAGAAACAGCCCAACCTAACAAAAGCAGCACCAAGGGAGATAGAATAGATAGACAAGTCATAAAAGAATATCTATTCATGATCCTGGGGCTACAGCAGGGAAAGTACATCTCCTGGTTTCCATCAACTGACATTCCTTGACTGATCCACACAATGCCCAACCTGCCTGTGTGTCCAAATTGGACAGGTAGAAACAATTGGGAGAATACAGTTCCTTAGGTAACCTGGCTTAAAGTCATGAAGGGCTTTAAACCAGCAACTTTAGTTGATAGATAGCATCTAGAAAAATAAATAAACAGTAAGCTAGTTTATTTGATCCCACGGATCTATGCCATTGCAATGCAATCCTATTCCTGTATTGCCGTTCTCCAGAATATTCATATATTGGGTTGATAAATGTATGTTTGGGCAGATAGAAAAAAACCCATTAGCCTTCTGAACAGTTGTAATGACTGTAGCACATCTAAAAGAAAAAAAGTTTTATAGATATTGCTTAAAAGAGAATAGCAGTAGCAATAGCAATAGCACTTAGAATTATATACCACCCCATAGTGTTTTACAGTATTCTATGGCTGGTTTACAATGTCAGATAATCCTCCAATAATCTGGCTCCTCATTTTACTGACCTCAGAAGGATGGAAGGCTGATTCAATCTTGAGCCTCATCAGGGACGAACTCCTGGCTATAGACAGAGTTTGCCTGCAGTACTGCATTCTAACAAACTGTGCCTCCAGGTTTCCTAATGGTCAGAATATACAGGGAAAAAAGAATGCACTGACAGGTAAAACCAATGAAAATATAAAAAAACTATATAATAAATAGTTTAATATTTTTAAAGAATTCTTCCTTATGGCATTGTGTCCTATATTCTGAGAACAGTCATTATTCTGCTACTTGTAATATAGGATAAAATGTCTCTGGGAAGAACTTAGTAAAATGTATTGTCCCTAATGAATAAGCAATCTATTTTCAGCACACCAAAGACACAGTTATGTTCTTGTGCGTTCCATGCATAACTTCAATTATAATTATTTGTCAATTATTAAAAACATTAAAATCATAATAGAGAGTAGCAGAAAGAGATTTTTTTTTGTATTTTTAAAGACAGTCCATAAGAGAACTAACACAAATCTTGCTCTCTTAGGATTCAGAGATGATCTCCCTATTGTTCTTTGTGGGGTATTCTCATAAAAGTATATATAATGCAATCTAAGTGGTCTGATAATTTATTTTAAAAACCCATACAATAATCTTCCCAATTGTTAGCTTCTTGGCATGCTAGATGACATCTTAAACAATGTACAATAGGTGCAGAGTGCCAAGCCAATCTAGACAAAACTATATCTTAGCTTCCTTGAAAATCTGAGGAATATAGTAATATAACTTATTTTATATCTTAAACAGCCAAACAGCCTTAAGTACAAAAATGCCTTCATTGTGGTTCACTGTAACATTCCCTCTTTGGCTTTGTTAAAATGAAGGAGTAGCAAGATTCACCCAGGTTACCTATGTCACTGCAATTCTACATAACTTGAAGCCATTGAGCACATGCCCTTCTGCTCATTTTTAGAGATATCTGCAGTATTCTTATTCTCCAACTATTCGCCAAGGGCAGCACGGTGGCTCAGTGGTTAAGATACTGGGCTTGTGGGCTGGAAAGGCAGCAGTCCAGGTTTGACACCCAAGCACCACGCGACATGGTGAGTTCCTGTCCTTGTTCTAGTTCCTGCTAATCTAGCAGTTTGAAAGCATGCAGATGTGAGTTGATAAAAATGTACCATTTCTATGGGAAGGTAAGAATACTCTATGATGCCATGCTGGCCACATGACCTTGGAAATATCATGCTGGCTCAATGGCCTTAAAATGGAGATGAGCACCGCCCCGTATAGTTGGCAATGACTAGTGGAGTAAAATTCGCAGGGACTCCTTTACTTTTATCTTTATTCATCAGAGCATAGATACCAATTTTACATTTTCCTACTTCTAACTCATATATTTCCATAATATATAATGTTGCCAAATTCTGTACAGCAGACTGCACATGTTGCCAGATTTTGACTACTAGTTAAAACTGATCAAGCTTAGCCCAGGTCACATCAAACTATTGCTATTTCTAATTGGTAACTATTTCATTTGGGGAATTTTATTGCTTCAACTTACTCCTTTAGCTTTTGTGTAGCATAGATTTGCTTTTTTAAAAACCAGGCTTATATTATTTATATTTCTCTTTTTTATTCTATAGTCATTGTCCTAACAGTATTTAGATATAGACATTTCTTATTTTATAGTATTGATTCCATAAGCCTTGTGTTTTCACTTTGTCTTTCCAAAGGCATGTGCTTGCTTTGAGTCATTTTGTGACTCGTAGTAGCTGTCTGGACTAGTTCCTGCAGTTTTCTTAACATGATTTTTTTCAGAAGTGGTTTGCCGTTACATGCTTCCTAGGACTGAGAGAAAGTGACTGGCCATAGTGACCCAGTTGGTTCTGTGTATTAGAAGTCATGGTCTCCCGGTTCTAGCCTTATGTCTTAACCACAATACCAAATTGGCTCTCTTTAAAGTTAAATAAACATAATTACAATCCTCTCATGAAAGATCAAAACAAAACTCAAGTATGAAGACTTTACTGTAATTTATTATTATACCTATAAGGAAAATAATAGTTATTTCTTAAAATCTGTTTTTGTAACAAAAGCTTCCATTTTCACTATTTGGTTTCATTCATGGGCAAAAATTCTTTAGTTATTTATAAATAATTATTTAAAAAACAACTAGTATTGCCAAAACCATAAAAGTAAACAAAACCATGATGGAGGGTTAAATATACTTAGATATAAAAAATCTGAAATACTTTGATGCTTTTTAGTTAAAACTATTAATCCAACTCAAAAGAAGTATAGTGGAGATAGGAAGAATATTCTCAGCCTGATTCATCAATTTTATTTGTCCTTATACTAGAAAATTAGTATCTAATATGAAATCTAAACTGAAAACTAGTATGTTAAGTTTTGAAAAGATGAAAATAGCTTCTATCTCCTGTCTTCTCTTCTTGATTACTTAACCAAGTTCCCCTCCTCCCTCTCTCTTTCTCTCATGCAACATTAACTAATCTTTTGTTTATTATTGGCATTAAAATTAAAAGCTGGAACACATCTTTCTTTGGATCATTACAAGTAGTCTTCAACTTATAACCATTCATTTAGTAACCATTCAAAGTTACAACAGAACTGAAAAAAGTGACTTGTGACACTTACGACCTTGCCACATCCCCGTGGTCTTGTGATCAAAATTCAGAAGCTTGACAACTGGCTTATATTTATGATGGTTGCAGTGTCCCGGGGTCATGTGATCACCTTTTGCAACCTTCTGACAAGCAAAGTCAATTGGAAAGTTAGATTCACATAACAGCCATGTTACTAACTTAACAACTGCAGTGATTCACATATAATTGGGCAAAACTCACTTAACAATGTCTTGCTTAGCAAGGGAAATTTGGGGCTTAGTTGTGAAGACTGCCTGTAATGCAGGAAAGTGAAGACTACCTACAGTATAGTGCAGGAAAGAATTGGAAATAGCATTGGCTGAAAAATTAACACAATAGTAAAGAGTCTAGATGAACTTTTTTGAAAAAGGCTGTTTTATTATACGGCTTATGTTAAAAATGTGCTCGTTTTTAATATATTGCTAGTCTATTAAACTGATTTTGGGATGTGTTAAAAACAAACTCATTATTGCATTAAGATTTGGGGGGTTGTAGTCTATTAGACAAAGAGCTTAGTCCAACATGAGTCTGATTTCCTGGATGCATATACATACGTTGCATATACACACAAAAATATTTTTGGTCATTGTTCAAGATTGATTTTAGAATGTAAAGACTTTTACCATAATTTAGATGATGATTACAGATAGTACATATAATTGGTATCTTCCTGCTGTCTTCAGTACACCAACGTTCCTCAATATAAATAGCATAATAATAATAATTGTTCTATTTCATACCTATGTGTGCTTTGTTCTATTTGCTACAAAAGACTAATTATTATTCCTCTGGAAACTGTTCCAATATTTCTAAGCCATTCAACTTTGTCAACACCACCAGTTTTGTTTGCTATTTTTTTTCTATTTCTCCAGCATGTTTTTTTTTGAAATGTGAATAATGTATCTCCTTCTTCACCTGGCTGCCTTCCAGCTATGTTCCTTCTCAGCTTTCATTGTTAAGTTATTATAATCACGTGTTGACCATAGAGATCCAGCACACTTGAAAGATGCTTGGTTGGGAAACGACATTCTAAGTAAAGCTTTAGTAGTCAGGTGAATGCCACCCAAATATTTTAGCAGATTAACATTTGTGACAAGACTGATACATCTTATTCTGTGGTACTAAGAAGTCTGTTATTGTCTGTGTTTCAGTTTGTTTCAGATCCATGTGCCAGCAACCCTTGTCACCATGGCAACTGCACTAGTAATGGGGATGGATATCTCTGTGTTTGTAATACTGGCTATGAAGGTACAAACTGTGAATATTCATTTTATGGTTCCCCAGTGTCTGGGTGGACGGAATCAGAGTTGCCAAGTGAAAATAGGCCAGGAGCAGCCACCATGGAACCAGACATTATCCTCCCACGAGCCCAAGCAACAGTGACACTACCAACATGGGAGCCCAAGGAGGGCCAGAAACTTGTGGATCTGAAATGGGATGAAGTAGAAGTAAGGGGTTTCTTTTTTAAAAAAAATATGTACCACAAATTATTTCTGAACGAAATCCAGTAGAAGCTTTAGGAAGAGATTGTCTGTACTGTATGTGACCTTGTGTGGAAAGCTGGAAGGATAAAAAAAAAAAAAAAACTACAACTTCTGTTTGTAAAATTTATAGCTGGAAAGTGTTAATTACAAAATTGTCTTAGAACTTGATGTAAATTTTTAAATTTGTAATATTTTTCTGAGAAATTATTAATTTTAATGAATGCCACCAGCATTGTTGTTGATCTCAGATTATATTTATTACTAAATACATAAACTATTTAATACTACCAAATGAACATTTGGGGTATAGAGAAATATTCTTTGGAATATTAAAAGAACCATTTTTTGTTTATTTTCCTCTTTTAGTTCTGCAATTTTTAAAGTTTTCTCTTGATATTTGTTTTTTTCGATAAAATATCAAAGAAGAAAATAGGCTTGGAGTTAAGTAAGTTTTAAATGCATACTGCCTGCATAATTACTACTTTTTGTATGCATTATAATATGTAGCACTATATTCAGTTCATGATTTGATTTCATTGAATGGTAAAATACGGTACTGGATCTTCATCAGATTTCAGTTTAAGAGTTTAAGGGAGTTTTCAAAAGTAAACTGATTTTTTTAAAATTTAGATACCCTATAACTGATCTTAAAAGCATTACATTAAGGAAAAATACTTTAATTTCATCATAGAAATAGATTGTAAGATAGATTGATTTTTACACTCTTTAAAATCTATTGAAAATATTAATTAACTGATGCTGTTTTATTTCTTATGTCCTACGCTGAGAGAAAAGAAAATTATATTTTATATTAAGAAAGGGTAATTTTAGTATTTCAAATATTTCCTTCCATTTCTAAGAATTTGCTTTGTATTATCCATTTGTATGTAAAAAGATTTCTAGGAGAACATGTGAATGTTTTGTATTTTTTTGTAATAAGAGAATTGGGCTGAACAGCCTAAAATCTGGGAGTCAAAAAGAAAAGAAAAAAATGTTGAGAGCATTTGTAAAATAGGCAGGAAACATTCCCAAGGATAACTTAGGTAGTAGCTCACACATCTCACTGAGGTACTGCTGAATTTGGAATCTAAATCAATGCAGAAGACATATTAATACATACTTTGTTAATGCTTTTTAAAGAAGCACTGCCTGAAAATGAAAGATTTTATCCACAAAAATAAACACCTTCTAGTATTTTTTTTCTTCTTGGCAAGTAATAATGACCCTAGTTTATATTCTGAAAAGTCCTTCCTCAGAGGAAAAAAAAAAAAATGTTCTTCTTGCTGGGATCAGGTGGCAAAGCACTGCTACCTATGATTTGTTTATATTCTACACTATACAACAGTAAGATGCTGAGAGATGCTATCAGCTATCTTGCTGTGTGTTCCTGAAAGCCAATGAATTTTCATTACCTGCTTTTTTAAAGAATTGTGTTGCAATTTATTAGGAATCTAGGTTGCTACAATATGAAAAGCTCTGTGTTTTTTTTAAGAAAACCAAATCCAAACCAATACCTTTTCAAGGTGAGCTTTTCATTTGTGCATCTGTTGCTCAATAAAGGTGTAGAAAGTAATTTTTCAAAATATATCCATCACATACATTTCAGTTTTAGCACATTTTTAAACCAGTTTTTTGTTATGTTTAAAAACTATTAGTTATTTAGGATGTCTCATATTTATGCACACTCTTTTTAGATAATCCCTGATGTAGCCTGTGGAAATGCCAGCTCTAATAATTCTGGTGGGGGTCGCCTAATATCTTTTGAAGTTCCACAAAATACTTCAATAAAGTAAGAAACTGCTGTTTTGCATTATTACAGAAAGGTTTTAGATAATGTTGGTTATTGAATCCATCATTTGAAATCTTGTGTATAAATGGAAAGAAGATGGCAGGAATATGATGTAAAAACCTTATGATATCTCATGTCACAATTGCTTCACTGATTTCCTGTTCCCATAAAATAGCTTGTCAGTTTTCCAGTTGTGCTGTCCAAATGTTTGAATTTTTATTGATTCATTGGGATATATGAAAAGCTTATATTTGCCATTGTTTTCTCATTCATGGAAATAGGATAATGCAAGGTCTTTGAAAGAGATGCTTTGGAGCATGCAAGGGCCCATATGAATCCTCCCCCGATCATTAAAGCAGTTGTGCTTTTTTCCCCAAGTTCACATGGCTGCTTTCAGTGTTGACTCTGCAGTCTCTGAATGCAAATGCATATACAACTTTTTTGCTTTGTTTCCCACAATCCTAAACAGAAAAGTCAACAGGCAGCAGATGCTTTTCTAAGAATGGATTAGCCTTTTAGATATCAGTGCTTCTTAATTAATTGGAAAGATAATAATTTATATCCAACACAAAGAGAGTGCATTAGAGTGGGAAATATTATAATAGATTAAATATAGAGCTTTCCCTCATCTGCAGATATTTATTGTTAGGAATCCTAGAGTTTTCAAGCAAAAGAAGTAGAAGTCAAGTTCCGCGAACTTTGGAAGAGGCAACTTATCTTAGAAAGTATGGTGGAAGTGGACATAATGTTGACCTCAACTTGAACATTGGTATCTAACATAAAATGGACATAATATATTTAAGACAATTAAATTCTTGTTTTGAGCTCCCAACTCTTGTATATAGTAGTCCCACATTTGGAACACAGTATTTAAAAATATTTGGCTATTCAGCTGAAGATGCAGTGAAAGAATAAGGAAAGAAATATTCATTAGAAAGAACTATTCTTCATTTACAATGGTTCTTTTAGGATAAAAAAGCTAATTCTTCCCAATAATTATTTGGGAAGTGAAGTGAAACCCAAACCCGGTGTCATTAGTAGAAATATGCTTTGACCTTGGCAAAATTAATATTTACAACATAGAGAAACAAAGCCAACTCATAATTGCCTTTTTAGAACCATATAAATGCTAAATATTTAATAGTTGTACTTGAGCCAAAATAATGTGATTAATTAGAGCTGCAATTTTAATCTACTGTGACTGATTGACTGGAGGTGCCTTCCAAGGTTACTGCTCTAGAAATGTGGGACTATTAAATTTTTGCTGCTGAGAAAGCAGTTAAGGGATTGGATGTGTATGCAGACATTTGTAAGATTTCTAATCTTTTTCCCTTGGAGTTAGTGTCTTCAAAATTACTTACTGATGAAATATATATCTTTGTCTGAGCTTGACATGTCTTCCCTCTTCCCCTGCCCCACCAGTATTTATATTTACTCAGCTACCAGTTGCCTCTTCACCCATGTTTTTCAGCCTGACTTTTCCTCCTTCTTTCTTTCCATTTCCTGAGTTTCTAGTCTCTTCTTGGTCTATATTTTAAAAATATTCAAGATGGCTCTCTGGTTCTTAGCCAAGTTTTGATTGTTTCTTCTATAATTGTCATATTCTTGAGCTCATTGTTAACTTATGTGTCCCTGACTCCTTTGCCAGAGCTTTTCCATCCATTGTGTGTTAAACTTTGTTGTTTATTAGATGATATTTATAGGTAGGAATAGATTGGCCTTCCCCATCCTAGTGTTGCAAGAATTCCTATCCCAATATGGGCAATGGCAGCTTTCCCAACATGTATGGAAATTGAGGATACCTACTGAAGAGGAATATTTGTACATATAATGCTACTGATTTAAAACTGTGTGTTGGCTACAATTCTCTTCTCCATATAGTTAACTTCTTCCCTAGTTAATAAGTTCTAGGAACTCCCTAGTCCAAGTAGGTCCCATTATCAATGCAATGTTGCTTATATGCATATTTTAACTGTTTTTATTATTTTGTATTTCCAAGCTGCCCAGAGCCTATGAAAAGCGCCAGCTATAATACACTTATAATAATGATAATAAATTGACACAACAATGTAATATCATTATCATTAAAATATTAATAGCCAATATCATTATTATTAAAAGAGACATGGCAATACAAAGTATTACATGGCCAGTACATTAAAAGAAAATAGCAGGCAAAGCAGATAACAATATCTATCAATGGCGAAGAGCAAAAAAGTTGAAGAAAGAGACAGAGGGCTGAATTCTGGCTGCACAAGACCAAGCTTTAAGAACAAAGCCAGAATTGAGAAGACAGCAGCAAACGGCAAGTGGCACTTCTGCAAAGAAGCTGAAGAAACAATGGATCACCAGGTTAGCTGATCCAAGAAGATTGCACAAACTGACTCCAAACAATGGCATGACAAAGTAGCAACAATGGTGCACTAAAAGATCTGCAAGAAATACCATTTTCCTATAAGCAAGAACTGGTGGAACCACAGAATAGACAAAGTAATAGAAAATGAAAAAACTGAAGTGCTTTAGAATTCAAAAGACAAGCACTTTTCATGTAAAACCCCAGACTTAACAACTGTCAATAAGAAAGACAAAAAAAAAAAAAAACCTGTATAATGGATGTTTCAGTACCTGAAGACAGCAGAATAGAAGAGAAAAAAAACTAGAGAAAAACACAAAATACAAAAACCTACAAATAGAGATATACCGTAAATGCCAGCGTACAAGGCGACCCGGCATATAAGATGACCCCCATCTTTATAGCCGGGCCGCATTTCTAGAACGTCATCTTATACGCCGGAAACTACCAGTATTTCCGGCGTATAAGACGACTCGGCGTATAAGACAACTCCCGTCTTTGGCGCCGATTTCAGCGTTCGCGGAAGTCGCCTTATATGCCGGCATTTACGGTAATAACTATGACAAAAGAAAGCAAAGATAATAATTAATGGTGCCTTGGGTGCAATCCCAAAACAACTGGAACACCATGTGAACACCATTGGCATTGACAAAATCATCATGAGTCAATTACAAAAGATAGCTTTATTTGGTGCAGCATACATCCTATGATGGTATTTTTAACACCTTCAAACAACATCTGCCTATCTCAGGTCGTTGAGAAGGGTTCTACAGGTAGGAAAAAATGCCAAATCCAGTCTGAACATCTGTCTGACTGTGTGACCAATCAACAACAAGTTGACTAAAAATCAGTGGTGGGATTCAGCTGGTTTGCACTACTTCGGCAGAACCGGTAGCTAATTTTTTGTTACTCAGGCCCAGAATGGACTTCTGGAAGCAACATCCACACAGAGAACCAGTTGTTCACATATTTGAATCCCACCACTGACCAAAATGTCAGAAAATTGATGATGATTCACTATGCATTATATCTCTATAGCGATAGAGTGATGGACTATATCTACCTTATGAAAATGAAGGCAGAGATTTACTTCAAGTCAAATAAACTGTCAAAAAGAAAAGCATGTGATGGCTGATTATGTAAAAGACTTCTAAGAACAAGAATTGATGCCAGTTAAAAAATAGAACTTGCTAAATGCACAGGGAACAAAACATGAATACTGAAATAGTGTAATAGAAATATGAACCAAATGCTGGCAAGGAAAAGCATTAATGATCAATTTCTGCTAAAGATCAGGAAAAAGTGAATAAAGATAAAACCTGTCAATGCATTACAACTGGAATATTTTTTTTAAAAAAATCCTGAAGCTTGATTTTGGCTGCTCAAGAGAAAGTTGTTTGAACAAATACAATCAAGGCCAGAGTTGAAAAATCAGATGATTCAAAGTGTAGATTGTTTAAAGAAGCAAAAGAAACAGTAGATCATACACTCAACTCATTCAAGGTCAAACAAACTGTTTATAAATGATGACATAACATAGTCACTTTGATTACTCATTGAAACATATTTTAAAATTATGATGTGTCAATAATGAAAAATTAATGGGAACATAACATTGAAAAGGAGTATAAAATGAGCAGATTAAAATATTGAGGAATTTCCTAGTAAAAACTGATAAAAGAAATAGAATAGAAGACAAAGAATTAGTGAAGATCGCAAAGATCAAGATCTGAAATTTGAATTTGAAAGATTATAGCATAAACCAGCTGTGGTGCCATATAAAAAAATCTTTGATGGCACTTAGGAAACCTGTACATTTCCATCTTTCAGTTACAAAATACCACATTGCTTGCATCCACACATATACTACATCAATACATTACAAAATTCTAGGTTCTTGAGAAGAACTCAATGTGAATGAAAGCCAATTGTTGATAACAATTTGATAACAACAGCACAACAATATTTTCTGGTAAGTCTAATATTGTAGAATTAACATGTCCTCACTTTTGACATCTCTCACAAGCGTTGGAATTAATGAGAAAGTTTGTATCAATTACGTTATAGAAATATGTTTTTAATGTCATGACTGTTACATTCTCATAGAAAATGTTTAAAATACTTGTTTTCATCATGATCTGCTTAATATTTTTATTTTTGTCTTTAGTATAAGGCACGATGCCACTGCTTCCCTTATCCTACTATGGAAGGTGACCACAGAAAGATTTAAACAATGCTCACTTATAGATGCCACAAGCATTACTCTTCTCCAAGCAATGGGTGGACTTGTCCTAGCAGAGGAGATGCTGGAATTGGGAAACAATTATTTCATTGGTGAGGTTTACTAATGCTGTTGATTTTTATATTCATAAAGTATTTTTCGAATGTATTGAACAAATCATAAATGTATAGTTTATATTAAATCAGAGTTGCTATAACAAGTCATAATAGGAATAGGAATAGAAAATCTGATAATTTGTCTTTTTATTATAGTAATGCACTATGGATAAGATTACTGTGAGATATGATTTGTTTTTTGTAATGGAATATGTCTATAATGCTTCCTTTAAAGATTATCTAGGAAAATGTAAAATGCTGATAGGTAACAACCATCAGCAAGATATGATCTTGATTCTTTGGGCATTACATTGACTTCTAGGAGGCTTCAAAGAACAAGAGATCATGAAACTAAAAACACACTTTTCCTTTTGCAGGGTCCAGGAACTTCAGATTTTCACTATCTCCTTTACTATAAGAATATTTCATCTTTGATGAAAATGACATTAGGATTAAAGTTTAGAAAGCAATATTAAGTTTCTTCACCTTAGTCTATTGCTTCATGAGAAAAAGAGATCAGTTGATGTAATTTTCTGTCTTCATAATCTCATTCTTCTCTATAACAGAAATAATTTACATAAAAATTGCATCTGTTTTCTAAAACCTTGGCTGTTCGTTATGATTGAAAACATTATCTGATAAGTATATCAATTATATTCAGTGATGCCAAATGCTGTGGATAGCTTAGTTGGCTTCCCAGTCTGATATTCTTGAGATGTGGTAGACATACATTATTATACTGGTTATAGGATTATGGTAAATGAAAATCCAATACATTTATGAAACCCTGGATTAAAGACATAAGACTTTATGACTTCTGGTGAGTGTAACAAAACATGTGAGGAACAGAAAATGGCATTTGTTTTGTTGTGTTTATATGCATTAAATAATTGAGACAGGGAAGTAAATATAGTTCTTATTAGCAGTATTTTTTTGCTTTTTTTGGCATGCTCACTAGCATCAGCAATATGGACAGCAATGGACAGCAATATCTTTGTCCATTTTTAGAGTTATGCTGCTGCAGTAATTGATGTACTGAATTCTTAGCAATTTCAAACTGTAGTGTTAAAATGGCAGATATTTCAGTATAAAGCATCCTCTTCTTTTAGTTCTGAGTTGGAATGTAAGTTTGAAAGTTAGTCCATCTGCCTCCACTTTAGATCCTTACTAACTAGAAGGAATAAACTATTGAGGTTGCTATTTATTGTTGTAGCATAATTTTTAGGAATAATAACAATTAAGCTCAGGAAACCAATAAAGAAAAGATCATTCTCATTTGGGTCCTGCCAGTTTTGGAATAATCGTATTTAATTTATTCTCTCTACGATGAAGGATAATTTGATTTGTTTTTACTTATTATCCAAGATATCTTCTCCACCTTAAATATTAATGTATTGCAATTATACATTTTAAAACCTCTCCCAGTATATGATAGAAAGTGTTTTTGCATACATAATTTAGAAATATTAGGTTGATGGATCCAAAAATCCACCATTATTTCAGTGTGTTAGAGATTTTCCAGTCATTAGAGTACAACACTCATCCTTAAAATAGGACTTACACTATTTACTTCTTGTCATTTTACTTAGCATGGAGTTCAAAAGTATTTTTAGTAAATGTTATTAGATAAGAATGGTCTTAAGTAATTCTGTTATTAGAGAGGGCTATCTTGCTAACTACTCTAGATAGTAATGACTACAAATTCATCGCTGCGTCTTTCTTCTTCAAAGTGTTCTATTTCATGATCATTCTTAAAATAAATTTTGCATGAGAATGATGGTATCTTCATTTGGTTTCTGAGTATCCTCCTGTATGGTAATTACACATTAATCAACTCAATTTACTAATAATGAGTTTCTCTAAACATTTACTTGCTGGCATAAGAGGTTAAGAGAGAGAGCATCAAAATTAAGTGAAACAAAATTGTAATGCAGTCATTTGTAACTGTTCTAATGCTCTGACCTTGATATATGATCAAAGTGAGTATAGATATGGATGCTGGAACTACTTTAAATTATAAGGGCCTTTGCACATAACTGTACATTTTATCTTCAGTGATGTGCAGATTAATTATATATCTTTGTCCTATATCTCAAGCTGCTTTGAATCTCTGTTCATTTTTCAAAAGCATCTGATTGTAGAGTATGTCAAAGTTGAGTTTCTTTTGAGTCCAGACAAGTTCTTGGTGACTCTGTGGATGTATCTGTTATTTCTGTACTGGGTAGTTTGCTATTTCCTTATTCCAGGATGTTTTCCAGTTTCTCACTGTAGCCTGCATTTCTTATATTCTTGTAATATTCCTTTCCATAACTTATCAAACTTGAACTTGCTTAGCTTATAGTCTGCCTAGTGCTGCTGAGGGATGCACAGGAAGTAAGAAAACAATCTTTGAATCACATAAAGCCAGATACCCACTTTTTCCAGATGGTATAGTTAATGTGGTCTATCCATAGTTTTCATAGATAAATGAAAATTTACAAAGAAATAGTATTTCTCCGCTTTTCAACTTCTCATAAGGGATTTATTTTTGCTTTGATATGGTTCATTTGGATTAATTGTAAGTGCATTTGAACCACATTTTATCTGTGCTTCTAGTAAAATTAACACAGATACACATAGAGACATATACAAATACACAAGGATTCCAACTCTGGATGACCCTCTTGTCCAATTTTTCCTGTCCTTTTCTCTCCTAAAGCTGTTGTGAATTAAAGGCAATATAAGCAAAAAAAATTAAAAAACAACCTTTATAATATGACTGATTTTCATATACCCCTATCTATGACCAGTAGTAGTTTAATGGGTTTAGGTGAGAAGTATTAACTCATTCCCCATCTCTGCCATAGTCTCTATATATTTTAAATTCCCTTTTAAGGCACTATATTATATTTTTAACAGTAATATATATATGTTCTCTTTTTCCAGGTTTTGTGAATGATTCTATTTCCAAATGCATCGTGGCATTACGCTTGACAGTCATAGTAAAAGTCAGCATGTGTTTGCCTGGAGGAATCCAGTCTGATGGCTTTCAGTGTTCTGGGAAAGGCAAATGTATTACAAGAGCATCTGAGGTAAGAAAAAAGATAGTAACAGCAGAAGGAACGTGGAGAAAGGGTAGAGGGATATCAATATCCCAGTCTTGACTTGTTCATCTAAGACTGATTGAGACAAAACAAAGAATTGCAAGGATCAATTGCCAGAGAAGAAGCATGATTTGGGAGAAATCAGTGAAGGACAAGCGTTAAGGGTAGGTGTATGAGAAAACTGATAGTTGGTAAGAAACATGACACATTCATGAGACATTGCATGATGTGCTGAAAAGCTGCATATCTCCTCTGTGGGAAGTGGATCATTAGAAGAGCTTTGCTCTATCTTCAAAGTCAGCATTTGATTAACGCTCTGCAGCTTTTTACAGATATTCTGGCATCCAATTCAGATCCCTGAAAACACCAGTATGGTACCAGAGGTGTCCAAAAGTTGTATTAAAGAATAAATATAAATCAAATCAGACATAGTATTTGTCCTGGCTCTATCCATTATTCTTTAGAGCAGGATTCTTGGCGAATCAGCTCTCACCTTAGTAAATTCTGCATGCCAAGTTGTTGCATGAAATTTCTCACAACTGCTTTCCAATATTTTCCCTTCTGATTTGCATGAGCTTTGGAAGTGGCTGATTAGTTGTTGCTTTGCAGCCCTCCCAATTCTATTCAGATTACATTGCAAATTATTATTTAATAATATATTTCCATGAAGCAGAAATAATTAAATACAGTATATGCCTTATACGATATTATCCATACTGATGTAGAAACTGTCTATACCCTTAGAAAATGAAAGCGGTTGCCAGAAGAAATCATAGCATTTGATTTGCCAAACAGCAATCAACAAAAGAAATAATTATGTGTTCAAGAAGAATAATGAATCTTTCTACTTTAGGACATGTACTATTTTGATTCTTGGAAGGTGTTTTATGTGTGACGTGATGCTATTATTATTGGCATGTTTCAGCCAAATACATTTAATCTCCCAGACAGCTTGAGGCACTGAATTGGGAAAGAGAGTGTAGTAAAGTCTGAGAGTTTTATGTACCATCAGTTTTTCTTAATTGTGAGTTAGTTTGCTTCAGTTAGAATTCCTAACACAGAAAGAGAATACAGTTTTTGAGGTCCTTGCAATGACCTTATCAATTTTGAAATGAGATATTCAGCAATTGCTTAGCTTTTAATGTCAACATATATAGAGGAGCTCCAAATCTATGAAAACTGCAACAGTTGAGTAGTAAGTGCAGAAGATAGTGCCAGATTCATTGTATGGCATATATGGTATTTTCATGATGTTTTATAAACACTTTGAATTTTACTAATATTCTCATAAAAATCACCAGCAGGAGAAGAAAATAAAAATTTTAGATAAGAAACTTGGAATTTTGTTTGATCTTGAAGAATCAAGCAGAATAACTGGATATGTTTTGGAATATCATATATGTTTATGAATATATACAATAATGCAAAATCATAGCTACCAGTTCTTTAATTCATATGCATTGAGTCCTTCCCAAGAACCTAGGATTTTGCAATGCATCAACTAGTATATGTATGGATCCAAGCACTGTAATTGACAGATGGAAATTTTGTCAGTGCTCAGTTTTTCTAAGTGCTGTCCAAGATTTTTTTTTGAAATGGCATCCAGTGTGACAATAAAAAGTGGGTCCACCATGGTAGCTTTATGTCATAATATTTGAGCTTCAATTTTCCTTTGTAATTTTTTCAAATTCCTTTTCTTTTAGTCATATTTTTATATTTTTATGGCTCATTGCATAGTCAGCCAGATGTTCCAACTGTATTTGGCCTTTTTATCCACCCATTGAGTCCTTCCCAAGGCCCTGGAATAAGCAAATGAGGGTTAGGCAGACCTGGGATAGCAAGTAAAAAAAAATCTGTAGTTGTACTGGCTTCCTTTACTGCCAGCACCCCTTACAATCTGCCTCTACAGACTGAGTTACTTCTGGTAAGCCTTTGATTTTTTTTTTTTTTTTTTTTGGGTCCTGGATGGACCTTTGCTATTCTTCCAGTTCCCTTTCTGTGAATACTTTATTTCATATTATAAATCAGTGTTGATCTGCTAGCCTCTGTTCTGTTATTTGTGATTCTGCATGTTGTTCTCTCCAGAGAACAGCATTTGTTTCAAATATCCTGTTCTTGTTGGACTTGATCTGTAATAACAGATCATTATTTTTTTTGTCTTCAATCTCTGCACACTTGCCACAAGTAAAACACCCTTCCTTCCAGTAGTTTCTGCAGCTTCTGGCCCTGGTTGCTCAGCCAATAGTCCTGAGTTTTGTTGCCCATTTTTCATTAGATGTCCAGGAATTCAAACACTTAGTGCAGTCCTTATTGACCCAGGCGATAACTGAGCCAGAATGGGTTTCTGTAATTTACATCTGACCATACTTTTTATGGGAGAGACACTCTTTGTCTGATTTCTCTGGTGAGGCCTGTCCAATATGGTTGAACCTCTGACATAGTTCTCATCTTCCTCAAAACACACAAGCCCCATAACCATGTCAAGGTAGTGCCTCTTATTTTATCTTTTAGTGCGTCTTGTTTTTCTGAAATATTTATAATAAAAAGTAAGAAGTTATGTGAATGTATAGGATGCTATGTTTTTCCTATATGTTTTTCCTAGATAGCAGTCTAATTATTGATCTAAGATAACCTGAATTCAAAAATCAATTGATAATTTGTCAGGAGAATGTTTTAAGAGAAAGTGACAGTGTGCGTTCTTCTGGACTTGTATACGCTGTTTTGTCTCTAGCAAATATCTATACTCTTTAAAATATACATTGCAAATGTCTCCTAAAGCCTGTTCTTACCAAACTTACATCCTAAAAATAGATCAGCCAAGGTATTATTAGCAAAAGCTATTATAAATATGCACTTGGAAATTCCATGCAACTGTTTTCGATCAACAGTTTGAGCTTGCAAATAAGCATATGTGTTTACAGATGATCTAGTCTTTCACTAGACTAGCTCATCAAAAGCTTCTGCTGAATGTTTATTAAAATGAGACTATCATTTTGAGTTTTGTACTTTTGTATTTTTTTCCTGCAAAAGTTTATTTTTTCATATTCCTTAAATGACCAATTGGAATTTAAACCAAGAAAATTTGATTCAAAGCCAGAATGAATAGTAATTTAATCAGTTAGCTTAATTAGATATGAGATGCTTTTTGACATTTTTTTTTCACCAACAATGAGACAGGCCCACAATGACTCGGTAATTTTCCTACTCATAATCAGTTAGCAATATTGAATATCTTATCTAATTAGCTATTAGGATTAGGATTCCTTTTTCCAGTTCTTTTTAGATAATTCTTTAACAGTGTGGTCTTTGAAGTTTTCCTTAGGTTGTTCATAAATGTCTCTGCTTATAACACATATGTTTAGTTTGCAAAGCACATTATTAAAAAGGATAATTTAGAAGACATTTTGCGATAAATAGGCATAAAAGTTTAAACAAAAGTGTGTCAGGACAAGGATAATGATGATGCAGCTCAAGGTATTTTGAATATATAGTCATATATTTTGTCATACAAATTAATCATTCAATATAAATAATTGGGCATTCTGAGTTAATAAAGAGTTGAAAATAGTAAAGCAAAGAAGAGTTAAACCTTATTTTCTTTAATCAAAGTTGCATTATCGAGGAAGTCACGTGTATTATACTGCTTGGTTTGTAACCTCTAAAAGAAAATGGTGCTGCTTTCCAGAATGCCCTTAAAAGTTGCAAGAAATATATTTAATATTGAACATTACTTATGGCTTGTTATAAATATCTCTTAATATACTACTCATTAGATTGATTCCCACTTTTTGGAAAACTATTTTGCTTGCATGTTTGCAACAGTGATGTAGCAGATGTGCATTTAATATAACATGAAATTCCCGAGAAATAAAGGTTAGCATAATTAAGCATTTTGGCTAATGTGCTCAAGATGCCTGAACACTCCAGCTCTCATTATGGTTATTTTTAACAGAAAGACATCAGTTGAACTGAATGTTAAGGCAACTTTCTCCATTAGGAAGTTACATACTTTCTTTGCACACCTAGCGGACCCTAGAATAAGTAACAATATCATAAGGGCTTGAACTTGACAAAGCTTTTAATCTGACAGTTCCTTTTCAGGATCTTGAATTGCTGAATTTCTTCAGTATCAGACAGTTTTACAGGAAGCATTAGAGAACAGAAAAATGGAAAGGTGAATGTTTCAAATGACTGGCATGAGTAATGTAGAGCAATGTTGGACATGCTAAAGGAGGCCTAATGAGCCTAATCACAGAACATCTTGATTTCAGAAGAGAAGAAATTAATCAGGGATATTATGATATAAATGAAATTCAAATATTGAGGCTGAAGTATAAAGGGAGAATGTTAATATGTGTTAACATTTATGTGTCATTCTGACAACAGGACAATTGGGATAACTTGACAGTTTTTTAACTGATTACATGTATAGCTTAGGTACATCAGCCCACAAGATATACATTGAATTATTTGTGGGAATTTTAATGCTAGAATCAGCCCATGGTTGGAACTATTGAACTTAAAGGATAAAAACTTTTTTTTAATGGATGTCATTTTCCTTTTGGGACATATATCTCATGATAAGATCCAGAATAAGTGCACACTAGAAGTACTTAAATTAATGTACCAATTACAAATGTCAGTTTACATAGATCACAATGGGATCAATCTGTGGGTTCTTATATATCAATCAGCCATGGAGATAGAGTGTTGTTGATTATATATTCATATATATTCACACATTGGTCCCATTAGTGTAGTGTTATTATAGATAGATAATATTATAGATAGACTAGAGAGTGTTAAATTATCACTTGTCTTGGACTTATGTGTATATGTGAAAATAATGTAGCACAAGAGAGTTGTAATATAGAAAGCATAACAAAGAATCAGAAACAATTAAAGTGGACAATTCCCTTGGCAGAAGCTGACAGATCAATGCTGTACAGTCCAAAAGCACTATAGCACATGGTTACACTTATTCAAAAACCAGAAAATCCAAATATCATTTACAAGGATGTGGGTGGTAATGACTGAAACCAGAATCTGGTGGTTTAACCACAAATGTAGATGTGAAGACAAAAGGAACTGGCTAAACTATTAAGACAAACAAAGAAATATAAATCATTTGACAAGGTACAGGCAATGACAGATAAACTCTGAAAATATCAAGCACTAAAAAGTAGGAACAAATAAGATAACTATAAAAGCCAGCGGTGAGAATTAAGACTGTCATGTTTACAAAATAATGTTATAAAATTTTATAAGCTAGTAATAGAAACACATATTTCACCTGAGATTTGGATAGCTTATTTTAAAAAGAAATTTGAGGATATTAAAATAATAATTAATGAGTACAATTTATTACAATTGTCATTAAGATGTCCCCAAGTAACTGCTACAGAAATTAAGAGAATAATTTCACAACAGACAGTTGGCAAAGGCCCAGGAGACTATATGTTATCACCATTTTTTTTAAAGGTATTCCCTGATTGACGGGCTCCTATGCATGCTTCCTTGTTTATTTATATCAATGCTCCTGGGCAAATCCCTTGGAAAAACAGTGTAGTAATTCCAATATTAAAAAGGGAGATTTCACAAAGCCTGCTAACTTTCACTCCAAAAGTATCACTGAAATAGAGTGTAAGCTATATACAACAAATATTTTAAACAAATTGATTGAGCAGATACAAGATAAATTAGAAGAGAGGAACAGCAGGCTTCAGAAAGGTCCATATATTACTGTATACAGATGACATGGTACTCATATCAACAACATTAATTGGAATGAGAAGAATCCTGGAAGAATTTCAAATTTATTTTTAGGAAAGAATGCTTAACAGATAAATTATTCTAAAACCAAGGTAGTAGTATTTACTAAAAGATCCAAGAGACATAATGGACACAAGATGATAAGGAGATTGAACAACTGAGGTCATTGAAATATTTGAGTATCCAGTTTACTGAAACACTTATCGTGAAAAATATAGCATCAACAAAAACAATGGCCATTCTGTACTTTCATTGATCTCATGGTCATTGTTTTTGTTGATGCTATATTTCCCACGACAGTGTTTCAGTAAACCAGATACCCAAATAAATGTTGTGTGTGAAGACTAGTTTCCTATAATGTAAGATTATTGTTTTACCTTTATTGATGGAAGGTCAACATCTAATCTCAAAATTGCTGCTGTATACATGAGGAAATGCTAAGACTAATCTCATTAATTTATTTAGGAACACTTCTAATTTAAAATGTATAGGGTCTCCTGCTTAAACAGGGGACTGGACCAGAAGATCTGCAAGGTTCCTTCCAACTGCTTAAACAGGAGACCCTATATCATTTTAGATAAATGCTTGTTCAATCCCTTTTTAAAAGCCTCCAAATTTCTGATTTCAGTAAACTAGAAGAATTAGAAGTGTTCCTAAATAAATTAATGAGATCAATCTTAGCATCCCCTCACGCATACAGCAGCAATGTTGAGATTAGATGTGGACCTTCCATCAATAAGGGTAAAACAATAATTTTGTATTATAGGAGACTTATTTGGCAAAACAATGCCTCCGTGAACAATTTAACAGTAATAGATGGGTAAATTTGTTTCTAAAACCATTCTCACAATTATCGCTATACCATGAACTGCTGAATGACATAAGTTATCATACACTATTGAGGGACTGCATGTTTCTTTAAAGATTTTAGACAAGATGGATAATAGCTTAAGTTGGCTAAGTGATACTGATTGTTTTAAAGAGGCATAAAGAATGTCATATTACTTAAAGTCTTTTACATCCCATTCCCTGAAAACTTTGTTTTCAAACAATACAACGGCCTATAGAATGGAAAGGCAGAAGATTTGACCTATTATTATAATATTATAATGTAAACTATATCAGGAACCTAGATCTAAATTCCTTGGAAGTTTGTTTATCCAATTGAATCAGTCTACTTTAGAATTAAAAAAAATCTTTTCCTTATCTGATGTAGATGAACATGGCACAAAGCAAATTTATTGTTTGTAATTTAATGCTGTTAATATTAGAGGGGATGTATTGAACTGATATGGATTGTTATAATTTTATTTGATTTTTTCTAAAACCTGTGGTTCGAAAGCATGCAAATGTGAGTAGATAAATAGATACCATTTCTGTGGGAAGGTAACACTACTCTGTGTCTTCAGGCTGGCCACATGACTGCAGAAATGTCTTTAGATAGCACTGGTTCAATGGCCTTGAAACGAAGATGAGCACTGCCCCCTATAGTCGGCAACGACAAGTGGAGGGACTCCTTTTTTTATAGTTGCAAATAAAAAAAATAGAGAGAGCAGTGTTGGACAATTTCTTTTGTCTGCTATTCCTGGAAGGAACAGAATGCAAATATTAAGCAAAACAGTTCCTAAACAGTAGAAGATTGGTAGCTTCTGAAGTACTGCTACTGGTATAACTATAGAACTGCAAGCCAAAAGAAATGATTGAACTTTAATTTCTTTATTGCTGTTCTTTGATATTTATGACACTTTAATGGATGCCATTTCTATAATATAATAACAGTAGCAAGGAAACAGTAGCAAAATATAGTTTAGTCATAAATAAGTCCTTTTGGGTATATTTATTCTTATTTAGGATAAGCTTTCATTCTAAGCATATAAGACCAGAAGATGAACTAATGTTTACTTAGTCACTGACCATGATGCGGTGCAGTTAAAATAATTAGACAGTGGATAAACAGTAGAGTTTAGTATCTATCTGAGCTATTTTGTGTACATTTATAACACTTATGTGCCATCAAACAGTAAATCTTATCTTTGAGTATACAGGAATGGAATTAGTTCCTGTTCTGGGCTATAATTACTTGGTGTTTTTAAGTATGAACCCCACATACACTACATATTTTATTTGTATTATTGGGATAACAATGATATCTTAAGAAAAATAATTATTATTTATATGATCTAAATAAAAACCAGAATATACGGTGTTTATGTAGAACATTTTGTTTACTATTAACAAAAACTACTGGAAACATACACTTGAAAATGAAGAGGTCAAGATCCTGTGGGACTGTAAAATAAAAAGTAATAAGAACACACCATATGATGATAATGATGATTTATAATTACAGAAAGAAAAATGAGGTTAATAGATATAGAAATACCAGGAGATAATATTTGAAAAACATATAACAAAATCATAACAAAATATTGTGATTTACAAACTGGAGTTGAAAGATTTTGGAAGAAAAAGTGAACTATAATAGTAATAGTAGATGGAGCCATTGGAGCCATGCTAAAGGTATTGATGAATATTTGGATGTTTTTAATGTATTGTATCTTCCACCACCAACTTTTCAAAAACCAATTTTTTGCAAGAACATTCCAACATACCACAATGATAATTCCTTGGCCTCTGGTTAGAATTCAAATAAAAAAAATCCCACTCTGTGGTATAAACAATAATAATTTCTTACAGTGGAATCTTTGAAAATTTATATGGTGAAGATCTCAATAGATGATAACCCTATGTAAATATGCAGAAGTTACAGTACAATTTTAAGAGGTTAAATTCAGGATTAGTCCAATTAATAGTTGCTCAGAGATCTACATTACTTTTTAATTACTATTTTCTATCGTTTTTGTCTTTTAAAAACATGCTCTGTATTCGTTATCACTTATAACTTGCTAAAATATACATGATTTCATAATTGTTATGCTTCATGCATGCTTTTAAAAATGCATATGCACCTGACGTATACTTTTCTTGGGGGGAATAAGAACTAGGAAAGATGTGATCAGATTTTCTGAGGTAATGGACTCTGTTCTTGTGGATTGGGTTATTATATCAATACCAGTCAGTCACTGTGTCTCAGCCCTGGGAATCAGAAAAGGGCAAACTATTTCTGAAATCTTGCCAAAAAAACCTTGCCAGGGACTTCTCCAGTGAGTCGCCAGGAGTCAACATTGACTTGAAGGGACAAAAATGAATAAGAAAATGATGAAATGAAATGAAATGATTTTGTAATAGTAGAATTTGCTAGTTCTTACTACTTGTCTGCCTATCAGTGCATATAATGAAGGCATTCACAATTTCATTAGTTTGGATTACAGTAGTTATATGCTGTAATTATTACCAGGATTCTACAAATTTTCAAGAAAGATGCAATATGTGGGAGTACAAATAGCCACCTCTCTGTTCAATTTAAGCAGCTACTTATTTTTCAAACATGCTGTTTCCAAAGCTACTCCAGTGGGACTCTCCACACATGAAATCTATTTATTAGAAAGCTCTCTGGATATAAGTGTAAGGAATTAGATCAAAGATAGATAGATAGATAGATAGATAGATAGATAGATAGATAGATAGATGTTAGATAGATAGATAGATAGATAGATAGAAAGAAAGAAAGATAGATGATAGATAGATAGATAGATAGACGATACTGTACACAATGCATATATACATAAACGAATTCAGCATATATATTCACACGTGTTCAAGTGAAATGCAGATGCGTTCAGAAATTTATAAAGAAAAAATGCATGTCACTTTGTTAAAACTGTACTGATTATAACATAAAATACTGTATGCTACCTAAATGTTTACGCTATATCTACAATAATACTTGTGCTCTATGGTTGCAAATTCATATTTTAAAAAAGCAAATTGAGACGAATGTTCCAGTCAGAGGAGGGATAAAAATTGTCTGACTCTCAAAGGGGTGCTGACTGTATATGTAAACAACTGTCTTTTCTTGCAAAAATGTGTGTCCTTTATTTCTTGTCCTTACCCTTCTCGGTCTTGTTTGGTTGTTTGCCATAATTAAGCTTTACTTTAAGAATATTTTACATAATCAGGAACATGCTTTAAAAAGAAGCTTGGAGATTTCATTGTAAAGTAGTATGGATTTTTTTGTTCTAGGCAACATTTTTCTGTGACTGTGACAATGAATACCTGGGTGTTTTCTGTGAAGAATTTAATGCCTGTCAAAGCAACTCTTGTCAGAATAATGGAACTTGCATGGATATGGCAGAAAAACATGTTGGAAAAAATTTCTCCTGTACTTGTCTTCCTGGTATGTTTTGAATCACATTTCATTTGTACAGTGCTTAGGAGAGCAGAGCATCTCTTGATACTGAAGGGGTAAGGAAGCTAACAGAAGAACTAGATATAAATTTATATGAGGATCCCTGATACAAAAAAACGACAAATGTGTGTGTGCGTGTGTGTGTGCATGTGTGTGTGTATATACATATACATACACACAAAACACACAAAATCCTGTCAAAACCCAGCTTGTCCACATTTTTAACCTAGGGGCCAACTCCAAATAAACTAATCTTGGAAACTGATTTACCTTGTATATGTGCACATGACATATTGAATCCTGGCAAGTCAGTCTCAAAGATGCTTTTTCAAGCATTACTGTTTATACAGAGGCTCTCTGGCACAAGGGAGGCACTTCCACTGAAGAAGGAGTTATGGATTCTCTTGGAGTCTGTTCCTGCTAGAATTGCAAATGTTTGATGCATGATGTCATTATAGGAACCAGTGGGTTCTGCACACTTTCTCCTGTTATACCCTAATTATTTGTCAGTCATATCCTGCTTATTTTCTATAGATAGGAAGAAATAGACATTTTATCCATTTAATATATTACAAAAGGAAAAGTGACATTAAATTAGTTATTTGGTAATAATCTTAAGAGTGGGGGTACTTGCAAGTCTTATCCAAGCTTGATAAGAAGACTATATGTTAGTCTTGGTGTAATTTATGCACTGTTTCATGCAATAGTATATCTCTATGACAGGTCTGGATGTGCCATTCAACTAAAAGTTTTTGTGAAAAAAGTAATAAAAGTACTTCATGTGTACAAGTTCGCTTAGTTCCTCTATCCATAGCAAGTGTCAACTACGATAGTTTACATCTATGCAATATACGATAATACAGTGCTGGATGGGGCATGCAGATGCTTTGAATAGCTGGAAGGGTGATTTCAAGGCAATAGATTCCAGCCTCTTCAGAGTATTTTAACATGTTTTGGTTCAAGTGTTAGAAAAACTGCAAGAGTGTTTGATGGAGCTACACAAAACATGACCTGCAGGGCCAAATAGTAGGATTGTGTAAGCTGTCATTGATGAGACATTACACAACACATCTTTGAGTGTTTTATTCTATATTTTATGTTTATTATGATTATGTTTATTATGTGTTTAATAACAATTGTACATTGTTTGCTACTATTTGGGGAGGGAAGGTTTATAATTAAATCACATACAACATTGTAATTACCAGAATAGGAAGTAACAGATACAGTACATATCACTGATGCATTTTTTGTTTAGCAGTTGCAATTAATTCCTACTTTCCTGGGAAAATAAGTAGCACAGTTTCCTTACAAAAGTTTGAATGTGTATTATATCTGCATTAGCCTACATAACAGAATGAGATCAGCAGACAGGAAAATGGGGTCAGGTGGAACTGCATAGATACTGTAAAACCGATGATCTATTCAGTTCAGTTCGTGTCTGTCTCAGTCTCTCCTCTTTTCTTTTTAAAGACAGAGAAAGGGACTTCAGATTTGCCCACTTATAGCAACATTGAGTTATATAGCAAACTGTGACTTTCAGTGGTATATAATTTCTGACACTCTGGCCAGTATAATTACTTGGCAGGAATGATGAATTTTGAAGTCCATCAACATACTGAGGTTCACAATTTTATATCCCTATATGAAAATAATTGAAGAAACTCCCATGTCTTTTCCCTTTAATACCCCAATTCTTCTGTTATGCTAGAAGTATCGAATTGTGTTTTTATATATTTGATGAATAAATTGGAATAAATTGGTCTGCTTAAGTTGAAAACTGCATAGTACAGTACCCTCTTCTTTTTTTACAAAACATATTAACTTTTCAAATCTGAATTCTGTTTAAGTACTGCAAACAGGAAGATGTTATCTTTTAATGTATACATATTTCTTGTATTTAGTATAAATACAACATTTAGAAATATTCTTATCAAGAAATAGAGAAATACTTGCATACACACCCACACACAAATAGACACACATGCACAGAATTTAATAACTAGAAGAAAAGAACTAGACTTTAGGGCAGTGTTTCTCAACCTTGACAATTTTAAGGCATGTGGACTTCAACTCCCAGAATTCCACAGCCAGCATTGCTGGCTGTGGAATTCTGGGAGTTGAAGTCCACATGGCTTAAAATTGTCAAGGTTGAGAAACACTGCTTTAGAGTAAATTAGACTTGATTTGAAAGTGAAGAACTATGAAAATGAAGTGGCAACGTATATGTTAGGAAATTTAATTAGTTGGCACTTTCTAAACCATTACCATTATTATTCACTGTGTTATTTACGTTTTCACTGATTAGGAATTGTATTTGTACAGACTTTAGTATCAAGGTAAATGCTTCAATTTAAGATTAGATAGATAATCTACTAACGTATAATATTTTTACGTTAGCAATTGTCACATGCAAGTATGCATTTCTGAGTAATGCATACTTCAAATATGCACTACATATTATAGTTGCATATTAACTTACTTTTAATTTGAATGGGAGTATGGTCAATTCTTTGTGATTACAACAAACTCTTTAATATAGGAACATTGTTTTGGATGCTATTATAATATGCAAATGACCCATCTATTAATACAATGTATTTTCTTTCTTTAAAATGATTTTATTATGCTGAAGGATATACTGGGGGAATGTGTCAGTCAGAGATTGACTATTGCACTCAGCAGCCTTGCCAGAATGGAGGGACTTGCTATTCCAGTAGCAGTGGATTCAATTGCCAATGTTCAGCAGGTAAGCAGTAAGTTTCAGTAATACTTAAGAAACTACTTATTTTTATAAGGATGTTGTTTCTCTCTTGCCAAGATAAGTAGATATAGCAATAGCACTTCGACTTGTATACCACTTCACAGTGCTTTACAGCCCTCTCAAAGTGGTTTACAAAATCAGCATATTGCCCCAACAATCTGGGTCCTCATTTTACCGACTTTGGAAAGATGGAAGGCTGGGTCAACCTTGAGCCGGTAAGAACTGAACTGCTAAACTCCAGGCAGCCAACAATCAGCAGAAGTAGCCTGCCGTACTGCATTCTAATGATTGCATCACCCTGGCTCATATACTGTATATGCATATGTGTGAATACAAATCAGAATCTTCTCCCCAATTATAAGGAATTCTTGTCATCTTGCTGATGACCCAGCTCGTGGATCATTTGGCAAAAATCTTTATGTCGCCTTCAGTATGGAGAAAGGCATTCCTTTTTCTTGCACAAAAGAAGATACTCTCAATTACCAAGTGGGAACATTGTGAGAATCATCACTTCACAGTTTCATCCAGTGGTGGATTCAGCTGGTTCGCACTGGTTCGGCAGAACCAATACCTAATTTTATGTTCAGTTCAGTGAACCGGTTATGATTAATCTGCGCAAGCCGCCCCTGCTGCCTCCCTCTACCACCCTGTATCCCTCCACCAGCCCTCCTTTGCCGCCACCACACTTTTTTTGCACACACTTTCTTGCCGCCCTACATTGGCTGTCGTCTCCCTTCTCCGTTCTGGAGATGGCAGCCCTGTTTTCTGCTGCTTTTATGCTGGCAGAAGGGAGGAAAGGAAGGATGCTTCGTATGGAAGGATGCTAAGCTCTGGGAAAACTACACCAGCTAGAGCTGGGCGAGAAAGGTCAGACTCCCCTTCCCCAATGGTTCTGCAAAGCCCTTGAGAAGTGGATCTGCTTCCCGCAGGATTGGCCTCAGCACCCACTTTGGATGGCAAACAGAAGAGCTTTGCCCTTTTTCTCCAGGAGGCCCTTTGAAATTGTCTTCCCCCCCTTCATTTTTCTGCCTTAAAATCCAGAGCAGACATGTTTTCTTCCTGATCATCTGAGCATACAGTAGTTACCGGCATGATTTTTGTCTACTCTGGATTTTAAGGCAGAAAAGTGAAGGGGTGGGATGGGGGCAATTTCAAAGGGCCTGGAGGAAAAGAGCAAAGCTCTTCTATTTGCCATCCAAAGTGCGTGCTGAGGCCAACCATACGGGAAGCGGATCCACTTCTCAAGGGCTTTGCTGAACCATTAGGGAAAGCTGGCTTTCTCACCAGCTGGAGTAGTTTTCCTGGAACTTAGCATCCTTCCAAACAAAGCGTCTTCCTTTCCTCACTTCTACTGGGAGGAAAGTGGCAGAAAACAGGGCTGTCATTTCCAGAAGAGAGAAGGGAGAGCCTGGCCAATGCAGGGTAGCAAGAAAGTGTAGACCAGCGGAAGGAAGGAAGGAAGGAAGGAAGGAAGGAAGGAAGGAAGGAAGGAAGGAAGGAAGGAAGGAAGGAAGGAAGGAAGACTTAAGGACACCCAGGGAGGCAAAGGAAGCTACTGTAAGGCACCTTTCTTCCTTTGTCCCTTTCTTGGCTGAGAAGAAGGCAGCCCATATGGGCTGCTGCTTCATGCAAGCAGGTGCATGTTGGCGGTGATGGAGAGCTTGGCAGAGGGATACCAGGGATGGTGGAGGGAGCCGGCAGGGGAGGCTTGCGCCTCCCAGTCACAGTGCAAGCCATGGGAGAATTGGAGGAGAAGGAGGTGGCAGCTGCCACCAGGTAGGTGATCTGTGGAGCAAAGCAGAGGCGACAGGGGTGGTGGGAACTGAAGAAAACCCCTCCAGCAGCAGATGTGGCTGATGCACAGCAGTGGTAGAGCCTTTTGCTGTCACTCGCCTCTGGTATCAAAACAATGGAGGGAGACTGGTTAAGGTCCATCCTCTGTAGTATGGCTGTCCAGCTTAGGAGGAGAGTGAAAGGGAAGAAGCGGGTGGGCAGCTAGTTTATTGAATCGGTAGGGGGAGATCACTGAGTGGGGAGTGGTCTGGATGCGGGGGCCCTGAAGTAAGCAGGTGCGGGACACGTGGGGCAATTCTCCCTCTCCCTAGCTTGGTTTTTACACATGTACCTCTTAAAGGGTTCTGTGATTTCAGAGAGAACTGGTTGTTAAATTATTTAAATTTCACCACTGGTTTCATCTGCAGAGAAAAAGTCGTTAGGCAGAGGCAAACACAGCACAGCTCTTATTATTATGTAGCTATGGGACTATCATGGGAGCTAATTTGGCCTTTGATGAATAAAAGTGAAGTATATGTGCACATACATACATGTTCTTTGTGTGTTGCTGTGTAAGCAGTTATTTAGGTAGTGTGCTGCAATAAATAATGAGTGAGTGTTCTCATGGCTAAAAGGGACTGTATAAGCATATTTATTAAAATTCTTCTGTTGACTTTTGTTTATAGAGCTATCAATGTTTCAGATAACATTGTGAATTGATTTTTATTTGTTGTAGCTTGCATCTGGTTTGAAATAGCTTTTATATAAATTGATTTACTCCTAAATATAGATACATCTACTAAATAACAATTTTATATTAGGATTCTGCAGGCTGAGAATTCTGGAAGTTGAAATCCAGCATATCTAAAAAGGTCTTGTTGAGGAAAACTGCTGAATGCTGACAATTAAAGTATATTTGCAATAGCATACATTAGTGTTCTACCTGTCTTTAGACTGAACCCAGTGGTGGAATTCAAATATGAGAACAACCAGTTCTCTGTGTGGATGCCGCCTCTGAATGTCCATTCTGGGCCTGGGCAACAAAAAATTAGCTACTGGTTCTGCCAAACTAATGCGAACTGGCTAAATCCTATCACTGACTGAACCTCTATATTATAATCAGTAACCCGTTTACCAATTGTGCTACAGCTTGTGAATGGAACAACCCCAGTAATTTAAATAGAAAATTTTAGATATTTTTTAGCTCTTCCCAAGAGATATATAAACAGTAACAATGAATAGTGAGACACTAAAACTGAACTTAAACTAACTGGCTTTCTTAAAGTATCCTATCAAAATCTGTGTCTAAAATATATGAACAAAATGATGGATGAGTTTTCATAATGAGTTGGGATTTTTATCCTAGATTTGATAAGTGATATGATATGATATTTAGACATTAAATATCTTCGTACTTAGCCAAAGTTGAAGTAGATGACACCTTCTATCATTTCATCTCTGTTAATGAGAATTAAATCCAAAATGGCTAATCCCCTAGTTCCCTTCTCTACTTTTTGGGAGACAAAATTGTCTGCTAGGTTTGTCAGGAATCTGTTTGATCTTCCACTTGGTGCAGAGTTTGTCTCCCAGTTGATGTCAGGGTAGTTAAAGTACCCCATTACTATTGTGATATGCTTCCTACATACCTTAATTAGCTGATTAGCAAAAAGTTATCTATTTCCTCTGTTTGGTTGGGTGGCCTATAGTATACACCTATGGTAATGTCATTTCGCCCCCTTTTATATTGACCCAAATGCATTCAAGACAGTTTTCATCATTGTTGTGCTCTATTTCTGTAGAAATGTAGTTATTTCTTATATAGAGAGCAACTCCACCTCTTCTTTTATTTGGTCTGTTTTTTTAAAATAATTTAAATCCCTCTAGCTGTGTGTTCCATTTGTGGGTTTCATCCCACCATGTTTCCATAATGGCAACAATATCATATCTGCCCTCATTAACCTGAATTTCTAGTTTACCCTGTTTGGTGTTCATACTCTGTGCATTGGTGTATAGACATTTGAGTCCTTTATGACTGATCCTGTGTTTACTTTCTACATAATCTGTGTGGTGCCTGAGTTCCCCTATTGTCTTACCATCTATTGGTTAGTGCACTTTGTGTGGCACTCCCTATTGAAAGTTTGATTTTGCTTGACAGCAAGGTTGATATTCTTGTCCACACATACATCTATGTTACATGCACTGATAGCCCTATAGTTTTTAGATTGCCGGGGACAGGGATGTTCTGTATCAATTAACTCACTGTCCCTACTGTTTAGTTTAAATATTCCTCCAGAAAATCTGTGAATTTATAGCCGAGTAACTCAGTCCCTTTTTTGATGGATGCAAACCATCTCTTTTGTACATTTTTTCATTGGACCAGCTACTGATATCATGACTAATATATCCAAAGCCTTCCCCTTTACACCACTCCTTTAGCCACATATTGAATTGTGCTATATGCTGGCCTTTTCCATTTTGCTCCTTATACACTAGTAAAACCTCTGAAAAAGTAAGCCTACAGTCTGTTCTGCTAAGTTCCTGCCCCAAGCTCTGGAAATCATTCTGCACAGAGAGTACATCTTTTTGGGACAGATCGTTAGTGCCAAGATGTACAATAGCCTCCACATCACAGTCCTTGCTGACCAATTGCTTAATTGGAACAAAAAATTCATGACCAGAAACAATAATAAATAAGAGCATTCTTAGAACATGAAAAATGTATATCATAAATCTAAGATCACTAGGTTATAAGCCACTATTTTGAGCCAGAGGAAAAGTGGAAAGTAAAATTTTGAAGCAATTAAATTAGAGAAGATACAGAGGGATACTAAAAATAGTATGATAAATAATCCATAATGTTTCATATTAAGCAACTCCTGCTTACAGATTTCTATAATTCCTGTTGAGTACCTTTTTCAACTGTATAACATATTGATGAGAATAGCTGAATTTCATTTAGCTTTCTTTTTTGATTTCCATCATTCTGTGTCACTTTCCAGCTGACTGAGACTGAGGCTTTGAACCTAACTTATGTTTTAAAATTGTTTTCGGTCTATCATACAACTGATGGCATAAACCATAATAAATATGGTTGAGGCACTGTATGGAACAATTAATAGATTAAAAGGGAGTTAGAAGGAAGAAACCTATCTGGGACAATCACTGGTTTTGATTCTTTGAAGAATGTTGTTTGTGGTAGCAGACATTATGCTGCTATAAAGGATAACTTGAGTATTTTCCTAGAATTTATAATACTCCTATATACTTTTATATAGAGGTGGTGGGGATGTGTTCTACCTATGTGCATGTTATTCTTCATTTCACTCCAGTCCTTTTAATCTATTCTCCCATGTCAAGACTCAAGTTCCATTAATGTCAATTAATGGTTGATGGCTAATCATCCACCTCACATTTCCCTAACTGCTAAAATCCTCTGGTGCTTAACCAAACCAGGTCCAAAAATTTCTCAGAATTTCCTGCAGGAATTAAATATGTAAAAGATATTCCATTTAGATGATGTAGTAACTACGAATTTACAACCTGCTAGGGCAGCTGAAAATTACAATTCTTTTTACTTTGCCATCCCTTATTACTATTTAACCATCTCATCATTTCAAACAACTAGCATCTGTTTTAAATGAAAAAGTATTCGTTACCATTTCTATTATAATTTGTGTCAACTATTCTTAGCTTGTCTTGATATGAAATGGTAAACTTATTTTATAACATTAAGAAACAGTGGAATGGTATGAATTTAACTGATTGTTGCTTTCATGTATGTATTTCTTATGACCATAGAATAATACCAGAGGTACAAAATATCTTGGGTGTTCAGCAATATAATATCAATTCATACTGCTAAATATTAGTATCTCAGTGTGTATCAGTTTGTGTTTTAAGATAATTTTATTCAGAACATTCTGCTTAAATAAGACAAATGACATAGGAGATGAACAGGTTTAGCTGGAGGGTGGGGTTAAACATGTAATTAGTTTGGCATCATTGCATAGCCACAAGAGTTCTGAATCCCTCCCATGCACATGTGAATTCTATTGACTTTTATCTAACAGTAATTTAGCTTGGGCTGTTTGTTGCTCAGGTTCTTGTGTATAGATGGCAAGAATAAACTTTTAGTACTTTGAACTCAACTGCTGTTCCTGGTTATTTGCACCTGACAAATAATTGCTTGGAATTTGGAGACAGTCTACAAATCAGGTCCATTTGTATCTTTTTAGGATTCCTGGGACCAACTTGTGCAGAAAAAGTCGATTATTGTGCTTCATTTCCTTGTCAGAACAATGGGACCTGTTATCCAGATCGATTCTCCTATTCTTGCAGCTGCAGTCCAGGTTTTACAGGACCTACCTGTGCCCACCTGATTGACTTCTGTGCTCTGAATCCTTGTGCTCATGGCAGTTGTCGCAGTGTTGGAACAAGTTATAAATGTCTCTGTATTCCGGGTATGTAAGTCCTTATCATTTTCTTTCATATCTTCTTTGCTGTTAGCAATATCTAATTAAAAGTATTTTTATTTTCCTGTTTTAATAAATGCATGCTGACAAACTGTTATTGTCTATTAAGTTTGATAACATTTATGCAGTCTGGGTTTAATGAAAGAAATAGATTGAGCACTTGAACATGCAAATTACTCTCAGTATGGTATATTCTTTGTCTGAAAGATTTATTCATAACTGTAGGCAAGCTTTATTTGTCAAAGGAGTTAAAACACCTGAATCAAGTGATCACAGCTGTACATTAAATTATGTTCACAGAAAATTAAATCACATTTTGTATTATCATTGCCTTACATAAAATCCATGGACTTGTAGGTTTTATGAACAAGTAATTTAGCATGGTAGTTGGATCCTGATATAGCTAGTTGAACCTCATTGAATTTTAGTGCGAGCTAACTTTATTTAGCTTTTTATCTAATTTCTGATAACTTAGGCTACATTCAAACATAAAGTTCCTCTCATCTTGTAGCATTCTCTTTAGCATTTACTCAGCATCCCCTTTAATTTGTCCTACCTTTCTCAATTTCCCTTCCATTGCCAGCATTCAGTTTTCTAAACATATTATTGCAAGCATGGCCATGAGGATTTTGTACACTTAGACATGTCCCTTTAAAGACAGAATTAGATTTGAAATTCAGAAACACCAGAATGTTCCTATTCATTGACTTTGTTCAGAACTGCAATCAGAAATTCTATAAATATTGTGCTGAAATTGAGAGAAGGAGGAGTATATCTGGACTCAAACAATTAATAGAAGAAATCATTGCTGGTTTATAAAAGTAATAGACTTATAGCCCCTTGGGCCAGCAGACTGGGAGAAAGAAATTCAGAAGCTTCAGAAGAGGCCTTGCTCTAATGAGCTCACTAATAAAGTACAACTGGAGGGTTTGATTTCAACTCTCAAGATTCTGTTTTTCACCCCTAGTTCTTGTCATTAAACTCATGAAAGAAAGTCTGTGTGAGGTTTGCTCCCTTGTAAGGCACTTGTCACTGTAATTTACAATTAAAAACTGTTATAGCTTGATTCATAAGGACAGTTAAAGCAGATTAATGTGTAAAGGAATTACTACGCCTACAAAGTAATTGTTTGGACATTATCTGCAAGCAAGCTGCCAATTGTTTCATGAGGCTCTTTTTCTTTCTCAGAATAGTGATGTGAACTAGAGAAATAGTTAGAGTAAAATATATGTTTGCAGAACGTTACATACTACATACCAAGGAAAATCTTTCTTCTATTCCAGATGGAAAACATGAGCAGATAGGCAGAGGACAGCATTTTAAACAATGTTTAACTATAGAATATTGTTGGATACTTGCTTTCAATAATGTGTTTGCATCATTGTATGTTATCTACATTTTTGCTGAATTACTGATCTTTTTCTCCCTATTATGTCACTCAGGAATACCAAACAAAAGAGAAATTTAAAATGGGCTGATTAGAGTGATGAAATGTTCATAATAATCATCAATGGGCCCATCTGGAAGAGCTTTGTATTCATCCTATCCATTATGTGATGTCTAATTGTTAAGTATTGTAATGAGCTGTAATGTAGGATTGTCTTTGGAAATAATCTGGACATTTCAATTAATTCAAAATAGGCTGTTATCAGGGACTATGAACTGGTACCATTTCTCACTTACTATTAAAATATCCCTAATTATGTTTCAAGTTTGATTTAGAATATTGCTATTTACCTTACCTTTGCTTCTTAAGGCAAAGAGTTTCAAAATTTTGCATATTTTGTTTCCTTTTTTAAAATTTATTTTTAAGTTTGTTCATACGGCAAAAAGTCTTTGGTGAAAGATTATCACTAAAATTTCAGAGGTGCCCTCATTTCAGAATTTATAAAAGAATTATGAGGCTAATTCTTCCTCTTTTGTTCATCTGTTAGGGAAAAGTACTTCTATACATTCTTATAGGCCTTCAAATATTGAAGAATTTCATTGATATTTTTCAAAGTTCTTAAATGTGAATCTTGTTTTCAGTGTTTTCATGACTTAAAACATCTTCCCCCACAAATGAGAGAGAGACAACATACTTTCTTATGTAGCTTCTAAGAGCTCTGCTTGCAGGGATAGGAATGTCAACAAACCAATGAATAGCTACTATTTAAAAACATGCTATATGAAATCTGGTTTTGGGACTCAACAGCCCAACAGAGTTTTTGATATTTCATTAAATACATAATTTTTCCATAGGTATAATAGAGAAGGAAGGGAAGGATTACATTTTATTTTGTCATCTTTCTTTTTATTTCCTCCATAAGCTGGCAACACATATACTCACACATCCTATACACACTTTGAACTTTGAATATGGGGCCTTTTGGGAAACCACTGCAGTGTATCAAACTGCAGTTTGATCAAACAATGTTAAATTTAAATGTTTTGCTGCTATAGCTCTCACCTATCTCTTATCCATATAGCATAACTCAAAACACCAGAGAATTGTGTTGTTTTGTGAGTAATGCTACGCATCATTTCATTTGTTTGTTTTTAACATAGCATGATATGTGAGCCCATTCATTATGACTTAGTTTTATGTGCAAACTAGTCTCTTATAACTTATTGGGTAAAAATACCAGTAGATTATTTTTCTAAGGATGTGTGTCAAGTGAATAACACATATTAACATTAATATACATTAACATGTATGTTAATGTAAGCTTGTATGTCAGTTTCCAATGGTATATTTATAGGTTAGGTCTTTTTAACCATTTTACAGCTGAACTTATTTCACAATGAGAAGTACATTGAAGGTAAAGTAGTCTTAGCAATAAATTGTTGTTTAGTAACAATTAAACTGATACACATAGTTTGCAGTAGGAATATTTTTTCTGCTGAATATTGAGTCAGAAGTTGTAGTTTAAAGCTTTCTAGTTATTTTGCATAACTTGAAAACCCTATTTTCTGAACTGACATTGGATTTTCCATTTTCCTTTCAGGCTTTACAAAGTGCAAAAAAACCAAATGTTTCCCATGCACTTTCATAGCTTTAATGATTCATAGTAATCTTGGATCATTGAAAGCAAATATAGTAGGGGGATAAAACTTATTTATTTAAATATATTTTGAGAACAGTGCAAGATTTTACTGTGTTTGAATTGACCTTATAAAGCAAGTTAAGTGATATTGGATTTAAATAAACTGATGGTTATAATCCCTTAGCCGACATTAATTGAGATATAAAGGTTGCCAGGTTGAAGAAGAGTGACTGGAACAAGGTCTAAACTAGTCGAGAACCTCTGTAAGCTCCCTATAAATTACTTTCCAGGTTACTCCAAGTTGAATTATTTTTATTTCAGACTATTGAATTACTGTGCCTCATCTTAAATTTAAAGAAATTATACCTGAGCAATACATGCAGTTCTAAAGACAAAATAAGCAACCTATATCAAAGAACTTAGCCTTCTTTCATGAATCACACAGCAGAGGCAAATATCTTCCAAATGCTGAAAAAGTCCAGGAAAGGAGGAACAATTATGTCCACACTTTGTGCATCTATCTGTATTAATACAGCAGGCAAGCCTTGTCATTAGGGCCTATTTGATATGCCATGAATTAAAATAATTATAAAGCTATTGTGATTTGATTTTTTATAGTTCTCACCTGAATATATGGCTATGCAGTATCTTTCATGATTCTACTAGCTTTGAATTAACATTACTTTGTATTTCTATTAAAATGGCATGTTAGTTATATTCACAATATAGGCATGAAAAAAAACCTGGTTTTGTGTATATCTGCTTGTGGATAGTGGCGTTTTTGAAGAAAATACAATTATTCTGAATTTCTTAAGATTTTGGACATGGAATAATCAAAATAGGATAAAACATTTAGATAGTATTTAACTATAGTTAGCCTGCTTATCCATCTCAGAAAGGGACTGAGTTACTTGGCTATAAATTCACAGATTTTCTGGAGGAATATTTAAACTAAACAGTGGGGACAGTGAGTTAATTGATACAGAACATCCATGTCCCCGGCAATCTAAAAACTATAGGGCTATCAGTACATGTAACATAGATGTGTGTGCGGACAAGAATATCAACCTTGCTGTCAAGCAAAATCAAGCTTCTAATAGCAAGTGTCACACAAAGTGCACTAACCAAATAGGTAGTAAGACAATAGGGGAACTCAGGCACCACACAGGTTATGTAGAAAGTAAACACAGGGTCAGTCATAAAGGACTCAAATGTCTATACACCAATGCACAGAGTATGAACACCAAACAGGGTGAACTAGAAATTCAGGTTAATGAGGGCAGATATGATATTGTTGCCATTATGGAAACATGGTGGGATGAAACCCACAAATGGAACACACAGCTAGAGAGATTTAAATTATTTAAAAGAAACAGACCAAATAAAAGAGGAGGCAGAGTTGCTCCCTATATAAGAAATAACTACATCTCTACAGAAATAGAGCACAACAATGATGAAAACTGTCTTGAATGCATTTGGGTCAATATAAAAGAGGGGGGAAATGACATTACCATAGGTGTATACTACAGGCCACCCAACCAAACAGAGGAAATAGATGAACTTTTTGCTAATCAGCTAATTAAGGTATGTAGGAAGCATATCACAATAGTAAAGGGAGACTTTAACTATCCTGACATCAACTGGGAGACAAACTCTGCACCAAGTGGAAGATCAAACAGATTCCTTGCAAACCTAGCAGGTGTTGAAGCCACAGGAACCTTGGGAGGAAGTGATCATGCAATATTGGAATTCAACATTATGGAAGCACAAGCAATAGAACACAGTTAAACTAGAGTCTTGGACTTTAAGAGAGCTAATTTCAATAAACTTAAAGAGGGCTTGGGAAGGATTCCATGGATGAGAATCCTCAAGGGGAAAACAACTCAAGAAGCTTGGGAAATTTTGAAAAGTGAGATAATAAAAGCCCAGTCCAGCATAATACCAACAAAGAGGAAAAATAAC